CACCCATCCTCCCCAGGCCCTTTCCCTTTGGTAACTGTTAGTCCATTCTTGGGTTCTGTAATTTGTTAGTTCTTTTCCCTGATTCTACATGCTACACATTGCTCTGGGCTATGTGATTAAAACCTAGTAGTAAAATGGCAATATGCCAGTGTATTGCTGCTTTCTAACATAATCGTTTTTTGGCTCTTTTTAGAAATATGCATACATGCAAAAGAAAAACACATAAAAAGAAACATTTCAGTTCAATGTAATGTCCCTTCTGTAGAGGCTGGTAGCCTCTGCATTCTGTTTTCCTAGGCTGACATTTATGCTTTCTTACACAGATGTTTATAGTTCATATGTGAGGTATAGTTCTTCTATAAAAAGAGGTTTCAGATTTCTATTAGTTAAATGAATATGCCTTCAGCACTCAAAATGTCTTCAAATGTGTGCCTAATAACTATCATTTAGCAGGAATGGTACTGCTCTTAAATACCCAAAACCATGTTTTTGCATGGTCCTTTCTTATTGTCCTTTAGTCTGTGCCATTTTTCCTTTCACTTTTGCTTTAAAGTTAGGAAGTATTAATTTGGCACAATGGCCAGGTTGGACCCTATATTTTCATCCTGTTTGTGAAGTTACACCTGACTAAAAACTTCTGAGTATAGAGGTTCCATGTTGAGAACTATGGGTGTCTTTATTCCATTGAACACTTCGGCCAGCATCATAAATCTAAGAGTAATGTAGTTTAAAGAAATTATTGTTTTTTTTTAGAACAACAGCTTTACTGAGATATAATTCACATGCCATACAATTTAACTATTTAAAGCCTTCATTTCAGTGGTTTTTCGGATAGTCATGTTTTTGTGCAACAATCACAATTAATTTAATTTAATTTAATTTTGTTTATTTTTATTAAGGTATCATTGATATACAATCTTATGAAGGTTTCACAAGAAAAACAATAACACAATTAATTTTAGAATATTTTCACCATCCTCCCTCAAAGAAAACTATAGCCACTAGCACTTACTCTCTCTTCCCTGACAGCTTTCTAGGCAACCACTAATCTTCCTGTCGTATGGATTTGCCTATTCTGAACTCATACAATATGAATGGAATCATTTAATATGTGGCCTTTTGTATCTGCCTTCTTTTACTTAGCATAC